TACTTAGCTCTTAACAAGTTTACAACGGTAAGTTTGGTTACTTTAGTTATAGAGGTACTCTCAGTAAACATACCTATATGAGTGTAGGAGGTGTTGCCGCTTAGCGCTTATGAAACAGGATATAGACACAAGGCCAATCCACATGTCGGCTTTTTTAAATTACCTATGAAGAATGAAATTTGTATGTGAGACGTGTCCGGTTAATCGTATAAGATTGTTAGTTCAAAGACAAATCTACTATGCCATCTTGATTAACTTTAATGTGTTTTCACTAGGTAAATGATTCAAATTGAAAGATATCTTTATTTATGCATAAATTTTCCTAATCTATCCAAGTTGTTATTTTCATATATTTTGAAATGGTGGGGGAATATCAGAATATTATGTGACTTTTGGGTTTAAACCAAAGGGTGTTACCATTGAGTTTAAACAAAAAGGTGTCTTTTGGATTTAAATCATGGGGCGTAATTATTGGATTTAAACCAAAAGACATGTCTTTTGGATTTAGAGGATATCACTTTTGAATTTAAAGGACATAGCCTTTGATCTAAAGAACACAAACTCATGCCTATATAAAGGTAAAATGGGTTGGAAATTAGATAGAAATCATCCATATAAAATCTATGGAATTTCTCTCTAACATTCATATTGTTATTTTCCTCTATATTTGGTCGATTAGAAAAATTCAAAAGTATTCGGAATCTAATTTTGTTCGTGCATAACGCAGTCAGACATCAATCCCTAGATTGGGTTTCATTTATCCTGGAGGCGGATTCGTGGGTAATCCAGTGCACACCATATTCGACAGAATTTGTGAGGGCAAATATCGTCTTAAGAAAAATGACATTGTAACGCGTCTTGAAATTTGCACCAACAGTGGTTACATAAAACTCATTTAATTTGATTTTGATTTTGATTTGATTGTATTCCAAACTTCTTCAATAATTTGTCTGATAGGATTGCTACTTACAGCTCCATCAGCCGCAAAATTCTACAAATTAAGAGAGAGGTCATAGCCTCTAATGTCCACCAAGAATTAACTTGCATTAACCTATATATCTTGAAAGTTAAGAATTTAATTTGCGGATTAAAACCAGAGGTAGGCCTGGACCACAAAACTTTGAGTTTTTTTTTTCCTCTCTCCTCTCTCTGGGATCTTATTGCATGAACTGACAAAGTACATCTAAATTGATGAAGATGAAATGAAATTGGAAAGTTATTTCTTTACCATGATAGTTGAAAACTTCAGAGAAAGTGTCCTTGGACCATTGTTTAAGTTGAATGTTAATAAGATGTATAAAATAAAATACCGGTGACAATAATTACGTTCTTTTTTTTTTCTTTTTTATTTTTTATGTGTGCGTGCAATGCAAGAATACAAGTGAGCAAAACCTTAAAATTTGTTGCATTACTAAAATAAAAATAAAAGAAAGAAAGAATAAATAAATAAAGAAAAAAGGGGTCCCATGTTTTCAGGATTAAAGATCAAATTCAATGGACCCAAATTAGGGGAGGAGGGGCAAAGAACACTTTTTTGAGTTGTGACATGAAAAAGACAGAAATGCTCCTACCACTTGGTGAATCAATAGATTTATCTTCATTCTTTCCCAACAACAACTTGATGCATAAAAGCATCAAGAAGCTGATATGGATACTCTTAACTATTGATTGGTGAATTGAACCAGGCCACTTTTGACCATAAAAGACAAATTTACCCCCCAAATCATTTTTCATCTATGTGTTATTCCATTGTGATGAAGGGCATATTTGGATTTCTAGAGTCTAATAGTATATAATATCTATAAATCATTTTCAAAGTACCAATTCCCTTGTGGTCCAAAGTCTATTGTGGCCCATCCAAGTTATCCGTGCAGTTCTAGAGTTGAATAACAGCTAAGTCCTTATTAAAATATTTGAAAAGTGTTTAGAATTTAGTAGGGGTGAGCGGCATATATTTCGATCTGATCAAATTGATCGAATCGAACCGATCTGCTGCATTTTGGACGGATGCGTGATGATGAGCGGACAGTTGCGGATTGATTTTTTTCAATCCGCCTAGTTTTGGACGGATGACGGATTTGAGATTCTTTTGGCCACAACAGAACCGCTAAACAGCGAGCACCCCTAATAATTTATAAGACTTTGTGTTTTCAATTTGTTTAGATATTCTATTTATATTTTCAATTGAAAAAGATATTCTGTTGTGTTTTTCAATTTGGAAATTCTTTTATCAAATGACAAGTGTTGATATTTAGTATTTTTGTGTGAAAAATATAAGGCTTAATTTTGTTGTTTTTTTTAAAAATGAAATGAAATAGTTTTTGAATAAAAAAAAGTAATGGAATAGTTTTGATAATGCATGATTTTCTTATATGTATTTATTATTAGTATTTAACAATTTACTTAATAATCTTATGGTTATGCTGAATTGGATTGTTATTCAAAAAAAAAAAAATATTGACAAGTTGTTATATTATGTTCAAAATTTATAAAAGTTTAAACCGTCAAACCGATTTACATCCATCTCCAATTCGCCAATCCGTTCAATTCGCATCCGTCAATTCGGCAGACAAATACAAATTGATTTTTTTTATTCCACCAATTCAATAGACGAACGATGAATTAAAAATTTTACGCCGCAACCGAACTGCAAACACCCTTAAAATTTAGTTGTATTGTGCCTATTCAAATTGTATATAATATCTATAAATCATTTTCAAAGTACTAATTCCCTTGTGGTCCAAAGTCTACTGTGGCCCATCCAAGCTATCCGTGCAGCTCTAGAGTTGAAATAACAGCTAAGTCCTTTTAAAAATATTTAAAAAGCGTTTAGAATTTACTTGTATGAATAATGCTTGGGACCCTCTTTTGGGAGTCACCCCCTTACCCCTTGCCACGTGGCGGGTGGTGATTGGAGGCACAGGAAAAAAAAGAAAAAGAAAAAGAAAATGTAACTAATGAGAGAGAGAGAGGGGGTCAAAGGGGGTGAGGGGAAAAAGGGGAATGAATCATTGTTGTTACTTGTATTGTGCTTATTCAAATTTGATGTCGATAACAATAATAAAAATTTCGTTCAAAAACAAAAAATATAATAAACATAAACTTAATGAACATATTTTAACTTATGGATATATATTTTTTTAAATATATAATATCGGCGTTGATTTTTCATCTCTCTTCAATTTATAAAAATCTTATCTCGATCTCACAGACAAATTTGTTAAATGTGATCACGTGGACTCATCAATGTTTTAATGGAGGTGTTTGGATCTTGACGTTGTGGAGAGAAAAAAAAGAGGGAGGGGGGGGGGGAAATCAACTTCGATGTTTTTTGTTTTTGTTTTTTTCTATAATGGGAAGAAAATAATCAAAGATTGAGAAGTTCAATGGTGAGAACAAAAAGAAAAGAAAATTTAGAGGACCTACCTACAACTTGAAATGAAAAAGAATTTTAGGTTTACAGAAGAAAAACATGGTTGATTGCTTGCATATGAAGAAGAAAGATGCTAACGCTGTGTTTGGTTGGAGGATTTGAGGAGGAATTTGGAAAGGGAATGGAAAAAGTTAGGTGAAATGTGAATAAAATACACTTACATTTCACCTAGTTTCACACACCTTTTCCCTTTCCCTTTCCAAATCCCTCCCCAAATCCCCCAACCAAACACAGCATAAAGGTTATAGGATTTGGCTTCATAACCTTGTGAAGCATAAAAGGAACAAAAGAAAATAGGAACAATGAAGATGAGATTGTGTCTTTTTTTTTCTTTACAAAAAAAAAAAATAATAATAAAACGAAAGAAAGAAAAACCAAACCTTAATCTCAACTTAAACATATCTTTGTCCATCTTTCTTTCTCTTCTTTTCCTTCTTCTTCTTCTTCTTCCTTTTTCTTTTTTTCTTTTTTTTTGGGGCGGGGGCTTTCGAGCTCCCTAGTTTTTTTTTCCTTTTTTTTGTGTTCTCCTTGTGGTTTTGAAGATATGACTTTTCACTTCCTGCATAATATTTACATGACAAGCCTCTATTTGGCAAGTTGATTTTCAGGCTTTTTTGGTTATTTTAGCCACAAAAAAAGTCAAAAAAGTCAAAAAGCCAAAAAGCCCTTCCCAAACCAAGCTTTTTAGCCCAGGCTAAAATAGTCAAAAAAGCTAAAAAGCCAAAAAGCCAACCTACTTCCCAAACCAAGCCAAAGTAGTAGGTATATAGCTAAGAAGTAGGTTAGGATGCTCTTCCAAGTAAGGTAGTTGCAGAAAATCAACCCTATTCACATATTTGTGAGCAAAATCACTATATTTGATTGATCTAAAATAATCGGTCTCTATTTAAAAGTGTATTGTTCTTACTTAAAATTATAAATTTTATTATTTTAAATCAATCAAAAAGTATATTTTATTTACACAATGTGAATAATGCGTAAAACAACTTGAACTTTTATGTAAAGAACACCCAACATCAAGGCAAACGTAGTCAAATTCCCCTTAATGTTTTTTCAATAGTTTTATAATTTTTATTTTTATTTTTTATGTTTAGATTTTGTATCTGTGAAGGGAGATGAAAAGCAAAATAAAGTGAAAATAGTTAAATTAATTTCATTTTTTTGTTAATTGAATAAGTCTTAAAAAAAAAATTGTTTACCCATATACAATGAATTTTTATAAATAAATTCATTTCTCATTATTTTTTCAAATATAGATGAAAAGGAGAAGGAAAAATAACAAATCATTGTTAGTTTTGAAAAATAATTACATATTCATGATAAACTTTATACTGTTATACACTTCAATAATTACAAATTTATGATAAAGTCATGAACTTTTTTTTATGAATCTGTAATTATTTTAGAATAAAATTACTGATTTGTAAATTTTTCTTAAAAAAAAAGAAAAGGATGACTCTTAATTTTGATTAATTGCTAGTGTCTCAAAAATGAAGTTTTTTAATGAAAATGAAAATGAAAAGAGCATTGAATGCATTCTGCAACTTCTTTGCACGCACACCCCACCGGCCTGTTTACTGCCTAACTGCTACTGTTCACTTCCTACATTCTCTCTCTCTCTCTCTCTCTCTCTCTCTGTGATAGTGTGTGTGTGTGTGTATATATATATGACTCATTAACTTCTCTTCTTTGCCAATCACCTCCCTTTTGGGTCTTCACATCTGCCTTTCAAATCTCCAACTTCTGATACTCCATTTTTCAACAATGAAAGCAAGGTCATCAGTAGAATCTGTAGAACAGGGAATTTCCCAACAGGTACTTCTTCCCTGTCCTCTTAATTTCACAATATATTATATTTACTGCATTGTTTTGTAGTCATTGATTTGTTTTGATTTATGGGTTTGTGTTGAATGGACATTTTTTGCAAGGGTTTTGAAAGTGCTCTAGGATAAGTGATGTTTTGCAATATGGACAATTGTAACCAACTGGGTTGTCTTAATTGGTCAGAGCATATAACCCTTGTAGGCCTCAAAAAGCGGATTAATGGTTAAATATTTTGTTTCTTACTACCTAGCCCTTTGACCTAATAATTATTTGTTATATATGTAATGAATTAGTCAGGGCAACCGGTTTTTAAAACATTGATATGGACAATTGTAACCAACTGGGTTGTCTTAATTGGTCAGAGCATATAACCCTTGTAGGCCTCAAAAAGCGGATTAATGGTTAAATATTTTGTTTCTTACTACCTAGCCCTTTGACCTAATAATTATTTGTTATATATGTAATGAATTAGTCAGGGCAAAGCTTCTAGTAAATATATATATATATATATATATGTATGGGCATTTGTATAACATGCATACAGAAACCCAAGGGAACAAGGACACACTATTATTTACCTCTGTTAGTTTAATAAATGGGTTTTTTTTTAATTAAAAAAATTATTTATAGATTTATCTAGAAAGAATAACTAGAAGAGTGGTTTCCAATGGAAGAAAGTCGACCAATATATATGTGTGTGCGAATTCAGTCCCATCGAGGTTGGGATGAATTTGGAAGGAATATCTAAAATTTATGAGATAAATTGTTTGCAAGAAAAAATTATGGTGGGCAATTGCTAAAATTAAATGATGCAAAACCACTTTCCACAATCAAAAGCTATGCATTCTCTTTGTGTTTATTTTTTGAATAGTGATCAAAATTTGTGCGCGTAATCAGAATTTGAAGAAGGTGTCATGTTCCACTGTGCTTACTTTAGCATATCAGAGCCTTGGAGTGGTTTATGGTGATCTCAGTACCTCCCCTCTGTATGTTTACAAGACCACCTTCTCCGGGAAGCTGAGCCTTCATGAGGATGATGAAGAGATTTATGGGGTGCTTTCCTTTATTTTCTGGACATTCACTCTCATTGGTCTCTTCAAATACATCTTCATTGTGATATCAGCCAATGACAACGGTGAAGGTACAGTTTGTCCTTTCGTGGTTTTGTTTACTGGTTTCTTGAAGACAAACGAGCTTGGGTTGTTGTCCACTTGTTTTTTGTTGGTAAATATGCAATATATTGTTGAGAAGGAACTAAAAGGACTGAGTAATATATTAGGGCTTGTTTGGCAGTATTTAATTATTTTATTTCTCATTTCAAGATGTTCTTTTTATTCTTTTGGGCTGATTTTTATTTATTTTTCCTTCGAGTAATACTTTACAAACAGAAATGAGAAGGATATGGTTGATTTGGTTCCTATCAGTCCAAAATGATAATCAAAAGTGCTTATTTTCATCGTTTTGAGAGAAGATTCGACAAAAATTTACCATTTTTAACATTTCCTTTGAGATCACTTTCATTTCATTTTAGAAAATCTGCACATAACCACACATTTCTCTAATTTTTCTTTTTATTTTTTCTTTTTCCTGTGTCAAATTTGCCTTCATAGTGCAGGTGGTACCTTTGCATTGTACTCCCTACTCTGTCGACATGCAAGACTTAGCATTCTACCAAATCAACAAAGATCAGATGAGACGCTGTCTGCATATGCTATAGAAAGATCAGAAGAAACATGGCAGAGTTCATTTCTGAAGTCATTCTTTGAGAAGAACCCAAAATTTTCTGAGGGGCTATTGATTTTTGTTTTGCTGGGAACGTGTATGGCGATCGGTGATGGTGTACTCACTCCTGCAATATCAGGTAGCTTGATCTGATGCAACCTCTTCAATACTGTTTACTTTGAGTCTTTTATGTCTCACCTGGATCCTTTGAATTCCAACCATTCTTTGGGGTGTGATTGGTCTTAGAAGCTACTTCGTTCACTTTTCCCTCCACAAATCCAAGATCCAAACACAGCCCTAGTCAACACTACAGGGCATGGGGTGTACACATAACTTTAGTAGCTTATCCTTATGCAATTGCATTCCATGTTGAATAAGTTGTAAGTTCAACTCCATTAAACTATTCGTGTCATAGGCATAGTACTCTCTTGCTTCTCGCATTATCTGATATCAATAATGGATGTGAACTCCCTAATTCAATAATTCAATTCAGTCAATCACCCCAAAAAATATATTTATATATATTTCCTCAAGAAAGGATAGGCTTGATATCAACAATGATTGCGCTTAAATAATATAATTATTTATTTGCTCAAAATCTTGTGTTTATGTAGCCTATGCATAATACATGTAATTGAGCTCTACTTCTATCCTTCTGTATTTGACTTGGATAGTTGAAGATCTCTCAAAATTCTCTGAAGCAGACAGTTTGTTGGTGATTTTTCTCATGGAGATATATCTGCATCTAGAATCTAGATACAGCCAAGACCACAATTTAAGTTGAATTTACTCTTTGATGTGGTCAAACTGAATTTCTATTGATGGTTAGCATATTCATGCAGCACAAAAAATTTATGGTGGTAGAGTAAAGAATCTTGATCGAAGATTGTAGTAGTAGCTAAATTTGGCATTGGCAACAATTGCATTAACAGCTAAGAAGCATAGACACAGACACACGACACGACACGGATATGCCGACAAGCTAATTTTCAAAAAATGCAGGATACGACACGTGGGAGACATGCATGAAATATATAATTTTATATATTTATTATATGTTATATATATGAACATATCATTCAAAGATAACAAAAAATATCATATTATGTGTTATATATATGAATATATCATTCAAAGATAATAAAAAATGCAATATGATACTAATTTCTATAAATTTATATGGTTTTTGTTTTATTATTGTATCTTAAGTTGTTTTCTTCAAATTTATAATTTCACATGTGTCTAATCGATAGACACGTATGTTTAAGCGATACACACGCATGTCCTCCAAATGTCCAAAAAGTGTCCGAATCTTTAAAAAATATTAAAAAATATGACACGTTTTGAAGTGTATTGGACACGTGTCAGGAAGTGTCCAAAAAGTCTCGGTGTACGACACGGATACGTCACCATTTTAGAAGTATCCGTGCTTTTTAGATTAACAGTGTAATCTGTGGTTCTGATCTTTTGATAACCCAAAATTCATTTTTAGGGTGCAAAAGTGAAAATGATACAGTTTCTGTCTCTGTATGTGTCTGAAAGATGTGCTTTATATATGAATTCTAGGATGGATATCTTCTTTTATTTTACCTAAATATCTATTTTAGAAAAGTTGAATTTGCAAGATAACAGATCTGTTCTGCAATTAAGAGATTTGGGTGTTTCCTTTTTTCAGTTCTTTCAGCAGTTTCTGGCATTAAGCTTAAATTCACAGGACTTCATGAGAGTAAGTTTAGTTTGCTATGCTACAATTTGAAGTATTTAACCATTGAATGCTGTCAATATCTGATAGACTTTTTGTTTATTTCTTTTCTTCCAGACTATATTGTTATAATCTCATGTGTCATTTTAGTGGGGCTTTTCTCTCTTCAGCATCACGGAACACATAGAGTTGCTTTCATGTTTGCTCCAATTGTCACAGTGTGGATTCTCTGTATCGGTGGCATAGGGACATATAACATTATCAAGTGGAATCCACGTATATTTCAAGCACTTTCTCCAATTTACATGTTGAAGTTCCTCAGATGCACCAACATTGAGGGTTGGGTGTCCTTAGGGGGAGTGGTTCTCTCAATTGCAGGTTTTTTTTTTTTTTTGGTCATGCTTCTGATACAAACACAGCTATGGAAACTTATTTTTCTCGAATTACTGTCTCAGGTGTGGAGGCAATGTTTGCTGATTTGGGCCATTTTTCCACGCTGTCAATTAAGGTATAATTTGTTTGCGCTATAAATATCTCACATTAAAGCCTTAAAAGTATAACAGAGAAGCTGAATCAAAAGTTTATTTTAAATATGACCTTGATGTTGTAACACTTTGTGTTCATATTCCAGATAGCTTTCACATTTTTTGTATATCCTTGTTTGGTTCTTGCATATTTGGGTGAGGCTGCATTCCTTTCTAAGCATCATGAAGATATCCAGAGAAGTTTCTACAAAGCCATACCAGGCAAGAGTTCATTGAGATGCCTGCATAGCTGTATCTTATTCTTACGCTCTATTTGTTTCAGTAGAAAACATTTTCCAAAAACATTGTCTATGGATAACGTTTTCCTATTTTTGGTTGCGACCTTGAAACTAATGTGTTAGTAGCTGTATTAGTGATGGTGATAGTGGTGGTGGTGGTGTGGCAATGGTGGTAGTGTGGTGATGTTGGTAAAACTTAGTCCAGAAAATGTTTTTCACTTTTAAAAAATGGAGAATGTTTTCCGTCCAAATAAACTTGTTTTCTGTTAATCCTAGAAAATTAATTTAGTTGACTTTCGTTTTCCATCGTACCAAATGCTAGAAATGTGGAAAGAAACAAATGGAGCATTAGCTTATTATTTTATTAATGCAAATTTCTCATCTGCAGAACCAATATTCTGGCCAGTGTTTGTCGTGGCCACTTTTGCCGCCGTGATAGGGAGTCAAGCAGTAATATCGGCAACCTTCTCCATAATAAGCCAGTGCTGTGCATTGAATTGCTTTCCCCGAGTGAAAATTGTTCATACTTCAAGTAAAATATATGGGCAGATCTACATTCCAGAGGTTAATTGGATGTTAATGTGCCTCTGTTTAGCTGTGACAATCGGATTGAGGGACACGAACATGATTGGACACGCATATGGTATCAATCTATGCATTTAATTATAATAAAAAAAATCGGGTTAAATTCATCTTCTAAGCCCTTCTTGTGTGTCCATTTTCTAACTTAAGTGAATCGTCTTGCTGAGTTTGTAGGCCTGGCAGTCACTACTGTTATGTTTGTGACAAGTTGCTCAACAGCAATGGTGATGATAGTCGTGTGGAAGCAAAATATTATCACAACTGCTGCTTTTCTAGTGTTTTTTGGATCGGTGGAGCTTCTTTACCTCTCTGCAGCCTTGTATAAAGTCCCCAAAGGTGGTTGGATCCCAATTGTGCTGTCTTTGATCTTCATGGCCGTAACGTTTTTATGGAACTATGGAACGTTGAAGAAGAACCAGTTCGATGTGGAGAACAAGGTTTCAATGAAAAGGATATTGTCTCTAGGGCCTAGCCTTGGCATGGTTCGGGTCCCCGGAATCGGACTTTTTTACACGAATCTTGCAACAGGTGTCCCTGCTGTTTTCGGACACTTCGTCACAAACTTACCTGCTTTCCATCAAGTGGTAATATTTATCTGCATCAAATCTGTTCAAGTTCCGTATGTTAGCAGAAGGGAACGGTTTCTCATAAGCAGGGTCGGGCCAACAGACTACAGCATGTTTAGGTGCATTGTCAGATACGGTTACAAGGATCTGCAACAAGAGAACTATGATTTTGAAAACAGATTGGTATACGAAGTCATACAATTTGTAGAGAGAGAAGGACAATGTGAGCTTCAATCGGATGTTGAAGTCTGTGATTCTTCTGAACTCACTTTAACGTATCAAAATCACGAAGAGAAAATTGTTCACTCAATAAAAGATTTCCATGTGATGGTGGTGTCTGGGAATGGGGAATTGGAAGGTTCTTCTCTTAAAGATGAGTCTTTGCAGATACTGAAGGCTAGGGAGTCAGGCATTGCTTTTATCCTCGGGCATTCTTATGCACAGGCAAAGAAGTCGTCTTCAATTTTCAAGAAATTTGCTATTGATGTTGTCTATGCTTTTCTGAGCAAAAACTGTAGTGAAGCTGATGTTGTGTTGAGCGTGCCTCACGCTTCGTTGCTGGAAGTTGGTATGATTTACTATGTCTAACCAATACAGAAATGTGCATTATGTACCTGTCGTTACAAAATCGTTCTGGGAAGGCCATCCATTAACTGTTGAAATACAAGTGATTAGGAACGATCAAGGTGGCTGCACGAGCGTGTACCTGCTCTACAGAATCATCACAACAAATTCGCATGCTACACTCATATCTCTAAGATGTAAAAGACTGAACAAGAAAAGAAGGAAAAAAAATCACCCTGTTTATACTAAACTGTTAAACTGTATAGTGGAAGTATATATATATATATTTCTTTTTTCTGAAGCAGTCTTATTATATGGAACTCAAAATGTTTATTGTTTGCTGGGTTGCTGGGTTCATCAGAATAGCACTTAATAGCACTGCTTAGCAAGAGGGGGTTGAGGGTTGAATAGTTCATCTTTGTTGCACACTTGTTAAAAACCTAGAATAAAGGTGTAATCAACTGACTGATCGGTTAGAAACATCTTTTTTTGCATCACTTGTTCTTACCATTTTCTGTATTTCCTTTTGCCTTGCCGTGGATGTAATGTTGCATTATTTCTTATACCTTCATTACATGTTCCCATTCCGACTCATTTTTTTTTAAATTTTTTTTCCTTGGAAGTCATTACGGAATTAAGATGCTTGGATTTTGACTAGATTTCAATCATGTTAATCTCTCTCCATAAAAAAACTGCTCATTTGAATACACAAGTTTGTTTGTGACCCTTTTCGACTGGGAGATCGATCTGGTACAATTAGGTACAACCAGGGTAGTTTCAGTTTAGGCTTTTGTCGTGAAAGTTCGCCTTTTGTTCAATGTTATAGTAACTGCCGGCTTGTTTCATGATCTATGCTTTTAAGTTTTTGTAATTTTCTTTCTTCAGTTTAGTCCTAGATGGTGTTTGGGAAGTGAGTTTTTATGTAGATTTTATTAGATGTAGGTTTTTATGAGATAAAAAATTTTTGGTGTTTGGGAAGATAGTTGGGTTTTTATGTGGTTGGATGTGATGTTTGTGAGGGAAAAAGTGAAATGATTATGGGGTTAGATGTGATATTTTGTTTGGATGTGTTTTTTTTGGTTTTGCAAAACTTTTGTCTTTTAGTGGAAAAAATGAGAAAAAAATTTGGGAACTTGCTTCCCAAACACCACCTAGTCTTTCAGGCTATTTGTTGTAATTATGTTGTAATTATGTCTAAACATAGAATTCTGTCTTTCTTTTTATTTCTTTATTTTTATTTGAACTCGAGGAAATGCCCCAAGGCTTACAAAGAACCAGAGTCAGAAATTAACAAGGCAGTTAAAGGACCTGGGGGAGAAAACATCCAATTTTGATCCAGGCAGCCACGCAAAGCAGCCTTTGCAAGCCAATGCACCACCCTATTACAAGATCTAGGACTCCATCTGAGTTGATGCTCACGCAAAGATATCTTGAATAATAACAGCAACTTCCCAGGGGGGGACATTCTCCGAAACACAGAAGGATTGCCGTGTGATTATCATTTTCAATCTCAACTTTCTGGAGCTTATGGACATCAGCAAGAAAGCATGCCAACTGAATGGCTAGAGCTTCCCCTTCAAGAGTAGAAGACACTGCAATGGACTGAGTAATGCCATCCAAAACACAACCATGAATGGTTTTTATTTTGCTCTAATGAAGTTGTTATGTCAACCAAAAAATGAAAAGAAGGCAGTGGTAGAGGATGAAGATGAAGGTATGAAACTGTCATTTCAACATGAGGTTCACTAAATAAACGTGCCAGCGTAAATCTCATTAGTGGCATTGGCGGCGGCCTAACCTAACCATCCTCTAAAAAACCTAATCAAATCATACAATTTGAGCTGATTATTTACTGCTTTCACCAAATAAGTAAAACCCTGAGCAGTGTGAAATCTGTGTTTTTTAGGCAGAGTAACAAACCCTACCGTGTTCAGACCAAAATTGAATCAAGCAATCCTCCATCCCTCCCTCATATATATCATAAATGTGTTTCATGAACTAACCAACTACTAGAGAGAGCTGTAAAGAGGTTATCTTTCTTTTTTAGACAGCAACCATTAACCAACCCATCTTGTTCCAGACTCCCCCAAACTTTCTAATCTGTTCGTGTTGGCATCTTGCGCGCACACACAAATAATAATAATAATAAAAATAAATAATAAAAAGTAAAAATGGAATTCAAACCCTGAAAAATTAATAAAAGAGAGGAAATTTTTTTTTAACATTTCAAAAATATTTCTCATGTGTTTAGGTATTTGCGTCTAGATATCTTTATGTTATTATGTATTTTTTTTTCTCAACTAATAATTTGTTGGAAATAGAAATTTTATTATTTGAAACAAAAAGATAATAGAATTATACATAGAAAAATCATAAAACTAAGAAATCTAAATTTAAAGTTGAATCTAGACTATAAAACCTTGTTTTGTATCAAGTTTAAATTTAGACTGTCGAATTATGACAGTAAAAATTATTGCAGAGAGATTGACAGTAGATGATCTAGATCCTCTATTTGTTGTTTATAAAATTAATTATGTTATCGGATACAAGTGGACTCACATATATGTAGATCTTACCTAATACAAAACTCATTGACATAAATATAGGCATTTCATTTTGTAATGGAAAAAGATAAGCACATCAAAAATTCCGATCATCGAAATCATCAATCCCTCACATTTATTTGAATTTGTAACCATCTTGTTAGCAAAAATCTGGTTTGGGTCAAATCGACAGAGGTGATTGGACAGAATAACCAAAGTTTCACAAACAATAACAGATCAAACAATTGTGGTTTGAATGTCCTATGCCTTGATAGTTTTAAAGACTTCTTTGAAAATTGTAATGTGAAGAAACAAATGTAAATAAATTGAAATTCGATTGAAGAACAAGTAAACTTTCTACTTAATTATAAGAATTAAATTTCAAGTTCAATGTGCACCACAATCGACAGAAGAAAACTTAGCCATAGAGGCTAAATTACAGACAGAAATACCCCCAAGTACAAAAGCTATTGCTAATTAAGTTATGCTACTCCTAATTTCACATGGGTTGTGAATGTTGTTGAAGACCTTCTTTGCTTCGAATTTTCAACCTTTATGCTGCTAGCCTTGCTACTTCTTTGCTGCCACATGTCCCACCATGGAGCAAGTTACCTCCATTTCTCGCATAACTATCCATGATCTCCATAACTGCTTCTCTGCTGCAGCATTCTCTTTCCTTTGCAAACAAACCACGTACCCTGCATCGCTTGCATGCCTAACTTCATGGCTTGACACCTGGGCTATGTTGGCTACATCTCACTGCACTATCAGATGAATCGATAGGAGAAACTGTGTCTGCCACATCTGCTCCTTTGATTGTTTCGCTCCTAACACTTGCTTTGCATTCTGGGACCCACATCCCACTATAAACTCGTGGTCTTCACCCCTAGCATCCATTGGATTAACTCTCTGCATTTTGTTATGCTTATTCGACAGAGAAAAATAAATTTTAGTGCCAACACATCTATCGATATGAATAAATATAAAAAGTAGGTAATTTTAGTGATCAATTATTTAAGAGGGTTGTTATGTAATTTAATTTTGTATTAGTATGTGTTAGACTTATTTATTTTAATGATTTATTTAATTCCGTTTTTGATTTATTTGGAAGAGAAAAATAGATTGAAAACTTATTTTATTCCATTATTTTTCATCTAATTTCTTATCCTAAATATATTTTTGGAGTATAAAAATTTGCTTAATCAGGAGATAATTTCAGCCCAAAACAGAGTCCAAATCAGCCCAACACACCAGTTGTTCAAGCAGCAGTTCAAACTGTCCAGCACAATAGTGACCGGACGTCTGGGTGGACATTCGGTCGGTTATTTGGTTGGATGACCGGCCAACAGCTTTTTGCCTAGTTTTGCTTCAATTTAAATTTTCTTCTCACCGGCTGTTCGCCAGCTGTATCCTCGACAACCGCGGAAGCCATCCTTGACGACTGGGACCAGTGGCATAGCTAGGAATTTCTCTCAATGGGGTCATTCAAAGGGAGAGAGAGAGAGAGAGAGAGAGAGAGAGAGAGAGAGAGCAAATGAAGGAATGCATCAATGGCAATGCAACAATGGTTGTAAGAGAATGAAGCATTGATGGAGCAAATAAATGAACGAATACTCAGCTAAAATTGACACCACTAAACAATGAATAGCTTCAAATATATGTGATATATGTGATATTTATCTAGATTCATTGGGGTCATTTTGTTAAAATTAACACCACTAAACAATGAATAGCTCCAAACATTGGGGTCATTTTGTTAAAATCCAAAACTATTAAACAGAATTTGAAAGTTCAGTGGTGTCAATTGACACCACTGAATTACACATAGCCCCGCCCCTGACTGGGACCCTACCGGACATCCAGGCAAACGTCCTTCTAGAACAAAATTTCATTTTGGACATCTGGGTGGATGACAACTCTGTAATACAATGGCTATTTTTTTTTTTTAAATAGAGCTATCATCTATCAGACCCATGCTTTGCCTCCTTTAAGATCTGATCAGTAATGGGGGAATGCAAATTTGAGTAGAGTAGATTTAATTAAAATCTTACTCAATCCTTTTCAATACACGCAACAGTCAACGACTTCATAATCTTCTCTTTGATAAATAGCAGAGCTTTTGCTGAACAAGACAAGTAAGAAAACATTCCCTGATCAATTATTACACTCACCTTTCATCTATTCTCTGAGAAGTGTTCTTCATTTTTTGTTTACATTTTTCTCTCAGAAATTATATACTGAGCCTTATAGTTTTAAGCTTATCTTACCTGTGTGAGATTTACAGAAAAATCAAAACTTCAACTTGTATATCTATCTTTGAGAGATAACTCTTGTAACTTCTTTGAAAGCAAACACAACTTTATTTCAACCTTGTAAGAGTGTAGTACACTCAGTGTTCTTGACTCCTTGAGTGCAAGGGTTTGAACTTAGAAAGTCTGTATAAAAATCTGTAGAGGATTACTCCATTTGTGAAGAGGTTGCTAGCACCCCTGTAAAGCTAGAGGATAGTAGAAAATCTCAAGTGAAGCTTGAGGAGTGGATTTAGACTTGGTTGAAGTTGAACGACTATAAATCTGTTTGCCTCTCTCTCCCTTATTTCTTTATTTTGTTTAATTGTCATAGCTATATCTCTCATTTTTACTATGCCAAATTCATTAACTGATATAACCGTTAGAACACTTGTTTTAATCATCAAATCTCTTCATTCATTGCATGTAGCTATGTGTTAGTTTTCTTCCATTGAGTGTTAGGTATAATTGCTTACTTATCTAAATCACAATCTGTTAAGGGAAAAATCAAACAGTGTATTTTTGCTTAAACTACTTAACTAACGTTCTCTCATTGTGATTGTCCAAATCATCTTTGTTTCATTAGCTATATTTATCTGTTGTATTAGTTATAATTTTTATTGTGATGTTATTATTTTTATTTGTAAAAATGTAATTCACCTTTCT